TTACACTCCCCCACTCTTCTCTTTCCCTCTTCTCTTTCTCTTCTTTCCCCTCTTTCTCCCCTCTTTTCTATCTTCTCTTTTCTCTTCTCTCTTTCCTCTCTCTCTTTCTCTTCTCTCCCCTCTCTTACACTCCCCCACTCTTCTCTTTCCCTCTTCTCTTTCTTTTCTTTCCCCTCTTTCTCCCCTCTTTTCTATCTTCTCTTTTCTCTTCTCTCTCTTTTCCCTCTTTCTCTTCTCTCTCCCCTCTGTTATACTCCCCCCTCGCTCTTCTCTCTCTCTCTCTCTCTCTCTCTCTCTCTCTCTCTCTTTCTCTTCCCCCAGACTCCAGTCCACACATCCGAAACTTGCCAAGGTTGAGAAAGATTGCTCTAAGATTTTGGGGAAAGGGAAGACAGAGGGGGATTTCCTCCCCGCAGGAAACCCCCCCCCCCAATTTAGTGGCCTTGCACAGTTGGGGTGGTGAACATCCAGTTTGCGCAACAGAGCACCGCCATCCCTTGTCACCCTGTACAGGAAGCAAGAAAGACAATCAGAAGCCACCTTGCGCCATCGACCGCAGCTCTGACACGGCGCAGGGATCTCCAGTGCCCGTCCTCTCGCCGCCCCCCCTCCCCGCCCTGCACATTCTTCGCAGTGTGCAAGAAGCAACAAACTCTTGCTCAACTGGCTGTGAGCATACAACCTCTGTAGCCTTCTGCCTCCCCCCCCCCAAGGATTGTGACTTGTCCTTGCCACATCCACCCACTGGGGCAATCGGTGCGGGGGAGGGGAGGCTGTCTAGAAGGGGTGGCCCCCCCTCAGCGGATTCCTGGAAGGCAGTTGGTTCATCTGGGGAGGCTCACCCATTGCCACGATGCATGGGAAAACATTTCTGGGACTCAGCCGCCCACATTCCCACACTAAAGCAGTTTGTGGTTCAGGCACGAAGCTAAAAACCAGGAGACGGTGAGTTCTAGTCCCGCCTTAGGCATGGAAGCCGGCTGGGTGACTTTGGGCCAATCACCAGGAGACGGGGAGTTCTAGTCCCGCCTTAGGCGTGAAAGCCAGCTGGGTGACTCTGGGCCTATCACCAGGAGACGGTGAGTTCTAGTCCCACTTTAGGCATGAAAGCCGGCTGGGTGACTTTGGGTCAATCACTAGGAGACGGTGAGTTCTAGTCCCGCCTTAGGCATGGAAGCCGGCTGGGTGACTTTGAGCCAATCACCAGGAAACAGTAAGTTCTAGTCCCGCCATAGGCGTGAAAGCCAGCTGGGTGACTCTGGGCCAATCACCAGGAACCGGTGAGTTCTAGTCCCGCCTTAGGCATGAAAGTCAGCTGGATGACTTTGGGCCAATCACCAGGAGACGGGGAGTTCTAGTCCCGCCTTAGGCGTGAAAGCCAGCTGGGTGACTGGGCCAATCACCAGGAGACGGGGAGTTCTAGTCCCGCCTTAGGCATGAAAACCAGCTGACTGACTTTGAGCCACCCAGGAACGAAGGAAGGAAAGAAGGAAAGAAATGAGAGAGAAGGAAATAAAGAAGAAAACGGAAGGATGAGAAGGGAGGGAGGGAGGAAATGAGAGAGAAGGAAAGAAAAAAGAAAAGATATAGGGATGAGAAGCAAGGAAGGAAGGAAGGAAGGAAGGAAGGAAGGAAGGAAGGAAGGAAGGAAGGAAGGAAGGAAGGAAGGAAGGAAGGAAGGGCCAACTCTCAGCTGGCACTTCACACAGACCCCCCTGCCTGGCACAGAGCCAGCTTGGCACCCCAAATGCCCTCTGATAAAACAATCTTGACTTCTGGAGATGAAGTCACTGGGTGCAATGAGCTGTTCTCAAAGGAGGAAGCAGGATAGGATGGAGAGGCTGTGCAAATGAGCAACACGGGCCAAGTTGCCACAGAGGCAATGGAAATGTGAACGTGGGCACAGCTCAGGAAATGTTAACAGCGTGTGTGTGTGTGTGTGTGTGTGTGTGTTTTCCTTCTGCAAAACAGAGGGAGATTTGAACCTTGCAGCAGGACTAACAACTCATCAGGGGGACTAGAGCCCTGCAAAGCCAAATGCTCACATTTTGTCGTAAAAGCTACTTGGAACCCACGGGTGTCAACACAATTTCTCTCCCTCTCTCTCTTTTTAAAAAATTCTTAATTATTTTTAATTGATTGTACAAAAAGAAAGAGAGAGAGAAAGTCAAAGAAGAAAGAAAAAGAAGGACGAAAGAAAGAAAGAAAGAAAGAGAGAGAGAGAGAGAGAGAGAGAGAGAGAGAGAGAGAGAGAGAAAGAGAAAAAGGAAGGAAGGAAGGAAGGAAGAAAAGAAAGAGGAAGGAAGGAAGAAAGGAAGGAAGGAAGGAAGGAAGGAAGGAAGGAAGGAGTAGAAGGGAGGGAAGAGGAAGGAAGAAAAGAAAAGAAAAGAAAGAAAGAAAGAAAAAGAAAGAAAGAAAGAAAGAAAGAAAGGGGAAGAAGGGAAGGAAGGAAGAAGTGAAGGAAAGGAGAGAGGGAGGAAGAGAAAGAGAGAAAGAGGGAGGGAGAAAAGAAGGAAGGAAGGAAGCAAGCAAGGAAGGAGAAAGAAAGAGGGGGGGTGGAAGGGAGGAAAAAAAAGGAAGGAAAGGAAAAGAAAAAAAAAGAATCTTAACCGTGTAAAGCTCAGTATATCACAGATGAAAAATTAGTCATAGGAAACACAATGCATCGAATCATTTTTTAACAAGAAGGAAAAAGATTTTACATTTTTTTAAAAAAAATCTCTCAGCCCAACGAGCCTCTAATTATAATATTTTGTTCTTTAAAGATCCATTTAAAAAAAGAAGAAGAAGCGGGGAGGAAAACAGAAAAACTGCTAAAACGTTATAGGTAAATGTTTCATTTCTAACTGCTTCTTTGTTTACTCCAGCTGATAAACCTTTTTTAAAAAATTGTGTATCTTGGATGTCAGCTTCTGTGGCCAACTCTTTCCCCACCAAAAACCCAATCTGTTCTATTCTATTCCATTCCGTTCCGTTCCATTCCATTCTATTCTATTCCATTCTATTCTATTCCATTCTAATATTCTATTCTATTCTATTCTATTCTATTCTATTCTATTCTATTCTATTCTATTCTATTCTATTCTATTCTATTCTATTCTATTCTATTCCATTCCATTCTATTCTATTCTTTATAACCTAAAATATTTTCCCGGTCATGCACAGTTGATGCTGCAGGGCACGGGCAGAGGGCATGGCCACCATGGCACTGCTGGGCTGCCTGGGCGATCTGTGGTGGGCCCTGGAGGCGGTGAGTGGCTCTGTGGGCAGACGGGGTGGGGGCGGCGCCAGTTTTTGGGCACTCGGTCTCTAAAAGAATGGAATAGAATGGAATGGAATGGAATGGAATGGAATAGAATAGAATAGAATAGAATAGAATAGAATAGAATACAATAGAATACAATAGAATACAATAGAATAGAATAAGCAATAGGATATAGAATAAGCCAGGGCTTTTCAACCTTTTCACCCATTGTCCCACTTTTAGGATATGGCAACATCTGAGGACCACCAGTCGCCTAGCAAGATGTCAAAAACTTGATGACCAAAAAAAAAGGAAAAAAGTGATAAAGTACAGATAATCCTTGACTTACAACAGTTCGCTTAGTGACTGTTCAAAGTTACAATGGCAATGAAAAAAGTGCCCCCAAGTCACAGCCGAGCAAGACACCTGCCTGCCCGCCCGGCTGCGCTCTTCCTCCTGTCCGAGGTTTTCATTGTTGTGAGCATTTCTGTTGAGGATTGGCAGCGGAGGGTGGGTGGGGGGTGTTTGGTTTTTATTCCCCCCATCTGCTGGGTGGTTGCAGCAGGTTTTGGTCGCTTCCCATGACCCTGGGACACTGTGACCGTCATAAATATGAATCAGTTGCCAAGCATCTGAAGGTAAATCACAAGACCCTGGAGAGGCTGCAACATTCCAGCTGATCAGCGCTTCTTCTGGGCTCAGCAGAAGCTCCAGGATCAGCGCTGAGCTCCAGCTGGATCCTGGTGCTGATCCTGGCGCTTCCGCTGAGCCCTGACAGCCCCGAAGAAGCGCCAATCAGCTGGAAAGCGGCACTGATCCTGGCGCTTCCGCTGAGCCCTGACAGCCCTGCAGCTCCAGCCGTTTCTCGCTCAGGCTTGTGCAGTGCTGCCACCGGTTCAGCTCATTCCCCTTCCCCCGCTACCCCTTTTCTAGGATGGTCACGTACCCCCTGCCAGGTGCCAATGGACCACAGGTGGGACCCGTACCACTGGTTGAAAAGCCCTGGACTAGACCACTGCAGACAAGTGACTGTCTCTTCTTAAAAGCCTTTTTGGAAGGAAGGAAGGAAGGAAGGAAGGAAGGAAGGAAGGAAGGAAGGAAGGAAGGAAGGAAGGAAGGAAGGAAGGTGGGAGGGAAGGAAGGAAGGGAGGAAGGGAGGGAGGGAAGGAAGAAGGAAGGACAGAAGGATGGAAGGAAGGAAGGAAGGAAGGAAGGAAGGAAGGAAGGAAGGAAGGAAGGAAGGAAGGGAAGGAAGGTGGGAGGGAAGGGAGGGAGGGAAGAAGGAAGGGAAGGAAGAAGGAAGGAAAGAAGGACAGAAGGACAGAAGGATGGAAGGAAGGAAGGAAGGAAGGAGGGAGGGAAGGAAGGATAACAGAGTTGCGAGGGACCTTGGAGGTCATCTAGTCCAACCTCCTGCTCAGGCAGGACACCCTGTACCATTTCAGACAAACGCTCTTTCCAAATAATATATTTGCTTTTGTACTAAAAAAAAAAAAGGGGGGGGGGGCTGACATCTTTTTGCCCCCAAAGAGGGAGCTTAAAAAGCTCGAATCAAATATTTCTGCAGGAAGAGTCAGGAGGTCACAGGGAGGGGGAAAAAAAATCTGGTGGGGAAAACAAGATGGGGGGTTTCATCGGTGCAAAACAGGCCATTTATTTACTTATGGCAAGTGACACCCCCCCCTCCGCCCCCCCCCCAAAGCCGGGCAGTTGGGAGACAGGCTTAAAGGGGAAATGATTGAAGGAATTGTCAAGCTTTTTTTATTTATTTATTGAATAACTGACTTTGCAGCTGGAGTCGAGAAGAATGATCGCAGCCAGGGGCTCCGTTGATTTAACTGACATAATTCCAGAGCTGGCAGCCCTCCTGGCTGATACCGTCAGGCAGAAATGCTAATAAAGTTCATTTTGGATGGGGGGGGGAACAAGCCAGGGGGGCCAAGCCAGAGACAGAGAGATAATTCATTGACTGATGCCTTTATCTTTTCTTGGGTAATCTCACCAGGATTGGGCAAAGCGTTTTTCCTCTGCCAAGGCAGAGATGTTTGCTGAAAATCAGGCCTTGCAAAACTCAAGAGAAAAGAGTTTGAACAAGGTCAGCCTTGCTGTGGTCGGGAGTTTCGTGGCGTCGTCTTGCGTGCAATCCCTGCAGGTTGGATGAAGTTCTGGGTTCTGGGTTTTTCTGTGAAAAGCCAGAAAAAAAAATGGATAAATTCAGGGGCCGGGCTAGAAGACCAGGTGAAGGGGGGGTATTTGAGCAAAACAAGAATGGGGTGGTGGGGTGGTGGTCCTGGGTGCGCTCTGAGCTTGGTGGGTTATTATTATTATTATTATTTTTGCAGATGTTTCAGTTACCAAACTAGGGAACCTCATCAATGCGAGCTGATCAACACCGTAGCATGGATGGTGTTGCCTAGCTGGGTTAGGAAACGTCTGCAAGAAAACCACTCAACTCAGAAAGCACCAAGGGCCCCACAATTTATTTATTTATTTATTTATTTATTTATTTATTTATTTATTTATTTATTTATTTATTTCCTTCCTTCCTGCCTGCCTGCCTTCCTTCCTTCCTTCCTTTCTTTTCTTTCTTTCTTTCTTTTTTCTTTCTCTTTCTTTCTTCCTTTCCTTCTTTCTTTTTTCTCTTTCCTTCCTTTCTTTCTTTTCTCATTTTCTTTCTTTTCTTTTCTTTTCTTGTTTTCTTTCTTTCCTTCCTTCCTTCCTTCCTTTCTTTCTTTTCTTTCTTTCCTTTCTTTCTTTCTTTTTCTTTCTCTTTCTTTCTTTCTTCCTTTCCTTTTTCCTTTTTTCTTTCTTTCTTTCTTTTCTTTCTTTCTTTCTTTCTTTCTTTTCTCATTTTCTTTCTTTCTTTTCTTGTTTTCTTTCTTTCTTTCTTTGTCTCCTCCTCCTCCTACTCCTCCTCCTCTTCCTCCTCCTCTGCGCAAGCCCCTCTCCCTTCTAGCACTGATGACGTTGTCTAGTTGGGTTATGAAATGTCTGCAAGAAAACCACCCAGCTCAGAGAGCACCAAGGACCCCACAGTTGTGGTCTTCCTCCTCCTCCTCCTCCTCCTCCTCCTCCTCCTCCTCCTCCTCCTCCTCCTCCTCCTCCTCCATGCAAACACCTCTCCCTTCTATCACTGATGATGTTACCTAGTTGGGTCATGAAACAACTGCAAGAAAACCACCCAGCAGCAAGGACTCCCAGTTGTCATTCTCCTCCCCTTCTCCTCCTCCTCCTTCTCTCTGCAAGCCCCCCTCCCTTCTAGCACTAATGATGTTACCTAGTTGGGTCCTAAAACGACTGCAAGAGAAGAAGAGCACCAAAAACGCCCCCATCCCACCCTGAGCTGCAAAGATTCTCTTTGATCGAAATTAAGAATGTTACGGAGAGATCCCAAAGCATCGCAGGGCAGGTGTGGTGGAAAACACACAGGGACCTCTCCACGTAACACCCAGATCCCCTCGGAAGCCCTCAAAGTTGCAAAGGGACCCCACGAACTCGCCTTTCTCCCACTGGGGAGGTCTTCCACGCTGGAGTAACCCTTTCCTCCCCCCCCCCCAACGTCCAAAGGTCCAAAGCTTCCGCTGATCCGCTACTCTTCCCAGAACTGGCACTGGGAAGAGTTTCCGTCCTTCCCCTTTCACGCCTGGACGGGTTTTGCAACCTTTGGCTCGAAGAAAAACAAACCAGGGTCAGCGGGAACCTTGGCCGAGATCCCAGGGCGGAGGTGCGGCTCTCCGGCGGATCGGTAAACAGACGGATGGAAGCGCAGGGCCCGGGCGCACGAAAGGCGGGTGAAGGGCTGGGGGGAACCCCGAGGGGGTGTTGACAAACCCCTCTTTGCATCGAGTAGAAAAGGGGGCTGGGCTGGGGTTGAAAACTCTCTGCCCATCCCAGATGTTCTGCCCATCCAGAACATCTGGCTGCGCGCGGCAACCGGGAGCGGAGGGCTCTGTCGGAAGCGCTGGATCGAGCCGCTGGCCACACCGGGACGCCAGTCGGCAGCCGTCCTCCTCCTTTGCGCCTTTTGACAGCCCAAGCAAGTTTCTGTCCCTCATGAGAAAGGCAGAGGGCGCCGGCCGCGAATTCAAACCTCAGGGCTGTGGAGCCCGAATGGGGAGTTTGTTTGGTGCAAATGTGCACAGCCGGAGAGTCCACCATGGTGTGTCCACCAAACCTGGGGGGTGAACGGATCCCATGCTTTGCGATTGTTATGTAAAGGAAGGATGGGTGGAAAGAGAGAGAGAGAGAGAGAGAGAGAGAGAGAGAGAGAGAGAGAGAGAGGTAGAGAATAGATTGATGGGACATATAGTTAGAGGACAGACAGACAGACAGACAGATAGACAGATGATAGATAGATAGATAGATAGATAGATAGATAGATAGATAGATAGATAGATAGACAGACAGATAGATAAATATGGAAGGATGAATAGATATATATAGACGGATAGATAGATAGATAGATAGATAGATAGATAGATAGATAGATAGATAGATGATAGACAGACAGACACAGACAGATAATAGATAGATAAATAGATAGATAGATAGACAGACAGATAGATAGATATGGATGGATAGATAGATAGACAGACAGACACAGACAGATAGATAGATATGGATGGATAGCTATAGATATGGATAGATAGATAGATAGATAGATAGATAGATATGGATGGATAGATAGATAGATGATAGACAGACAGACAGACAGATAGATATGGATGGATAGCTATAGATATGGATAGAGAGAGAGAGAGAGAGAGAGAATAGATAGATATGGATGGATAGATAGACAGACAGATAGATATGGATGGATAGATAGACAGATGATAGACAGACAGACAGACAGATAGCTATAGATATGGATAGAGAGAGAGAGAGAGAATAGATAGATATGGATGGATAGATAGACAGACAGATAGATAGATATAGATGGATAGATAGATAGATGACAAATAGACAGATGATAGGTAGATAGATAAACAGAGGCAGAGAAAAAGATGTAGAGAATAGATTGATGATAGATATACTTAGAAGATAGGTAGGTAGGTAGAGATTAGACTGATTAATGATAGATAGATATAGTTGGATGATAGATAAATAGACAGACAGACAGACGGGGGACAATAGATAGACAGTCAGATAGACAGACATGGGATGAAAAAGATGGCAGACCTCTATAGGCTCTTTTCAAGTTACAGGTAATCCTCGACTTATAACGGTTCATTTAGCGACTGTTTGAAGTTACAATGGCACAAAAAAGTGAGTTACGACTGTTTTTCACACATAACGACCGTTGCAGCATTCCCCCCCGGTCACGTGATCAAAATTCAGACCCCTGGCAATTGACTCACATTTATGACGGTCACGCAGCATCCCAGGAGCACATGATTCCCCCTTTTGCGACATTCTAGCTGGCAAAGTCAATGTGGGAAGCCTGATTCCCTTAACGACCGCGTGACTCCCTTAACAACAGCAGGGATTCCCTGAACACGTGTGGCAGGAAAGGTGGTAAAATGGAGCAAAACTCATTTAACGTCTCACTTAGCGACGGAAATGCGTGGCTCCGTTGTGGTCGTAAGTCGAGGACTGCCTGTACTTTGGAGGAAACCAGATTGAGGAGCCAAGGGGTTCCAAGGAGGTCTAATTCCCAACTCCTTCCAGCAGGTGGCAGCGTTGAGCCACTCTGGGCTGACCCCAGCAGGTGAGCAAAGCTGAAGCTGAAAAGGAGGCCACCAGGAAATCAGAGGCTAAATGGAGAAGCCTATTGAGTTGTTGAGTTCGAACGGTCGCTAAACGAACGGTCATTAAGTTGAGGACTACTCGTACCACTCGACGAAACACCGAAGCAGCTGCCGGGGAAGTTTTCGACTCGATTTTTCACACCTGTCTCCAGTGAGGTCCACCCGAGCGGCCAGTCACAAGTGGGCGAGGCTTTTTCCCGCCTCTGGGAAGATTTACTGCTCTTATTGATTGGTGCCATTATCATTCACTCACTCAGTGACTCATTTATTTATTTATTTATTCACTCACTGGCTCATTTATCTATTCATTCATTCACTCACTCACTGACTCACTTACTGACTCATTTATTTATTTATTTATTCACTCACTGACTCATTTATCCATTCATTCATTCACTCACTCACTGGCTCATTTATTTATTTATTTGTTCATTCATTCCATTCATTCACTCACTCAGTGACTCATTTATTTATTTATTTATTCACTCACTGGCTCATTTATTTATTCATTCATTCATTCCATTCATTCACTCACTCACTCACTGATTCATTTATTTACTTATTCACTCACTCATTTATTTGTTCACTCATTCACTCACTTGCACCTTTCTTTCTTTCTTTCTTTCTTTCTTTCTTTCTTTCTTTCTTTCTTTCTTTCTTTCCCTCTCTCTCTCCCCCTCTTTCTTTCTTTCTCTTTCTTTTTTTCTTCCTTTCCCTCCCTCCCTCCTTCTTTCTTTCCCTCTCTCCCTCTCTCCCTCCCTCTCTCATTTATTCATTCATTCACTCACTCACTGACTTATTTATTTGTTCATTCATTCACTCACTTGCACCTTTCTTTCTTTCTTTCTTTCTTTCTTTCTTTCTTTCTTTCCCTTCCTCCCTCCCTCCCTCCCTCCCTCTCTACCTCTTTCTTCTTTCTTTCTTTCTTTCTTTCTTTCTTTCTTTCTTTCTTTCAACTTATTTGTCATCCCAAAATTGGCACCTGTCCCACTGCAAAACAACGAAGCAGCTGCTGGGCAGATAGGCAGAAAGTGAGAGGAAGTGGAGAAACAGCAGCCGAGAAAGTGGCGAGAGGACTTGGGTCACCGGAAGACAATTAAAAATAAATAAATCCAGAAATAGTGTAACTGAAATGCAAAACGAGCTGCTGTTTTGGGGGGCAGGAAGCCCAGGATGGTTCTGCATTGCAAATTTCATTTCAGGAGAAAAACTGCCTTTTTCACCGTCCAGGACGAGAGGCTTACTCGATTTATTTAGCTTTCTCCTTTGCTATTATTTATTTAGTTATTCAGTTAGTTATTTAGTTATTTTACGAACATATCTACGAATCACACAGTCGCAGCAATTAAAAAAAATGGAGTAAAAACATTGAATCTCACAATCGAAAAAGGCTCAGAAAAACAGCAAGAAACATTTTAAAAGTCTTGGGGGGGGGGCAAACCACCCCCAATGAGTGCAGGTCGTCCTCAACTTACTACACTTTGACCGTTCAAAGTTACAACGGCATTGAAAAAAGAGACTTAGGACCGTTTTTTCACCGTTACGACCCTCGCCGCCTCCCCTCATGGTCACGTGACCAAAATCCAGAGGCTCGGCAACTGGCATGGACTTACAATGGTTGCAGCATCCTGGGATCACGTGATTTCCACCTTTTGCGACCTTCCGACGAGCAAAGCCAATGGAGAAGCTGTATTCACTTAATGACAGCATTCCTTAACAACTGCAATGGTTCACTTAACGACTGTGGCAAGAAAGACTGTAAAATGGGGCAACACTTAATAATAATAATAATAATAATAATAATAAAGTTGGAAGGGACCTTGGAGGTCATCTAGTCCAACTCCCTGCTCAGGCAGGAAACCCTAGACCATTTCGGACAAATGGCTGTCCAGTTTCTTCTTAAAATAATAATAATAATAATAGTGTTGGAAGGAACCTTGGAAGTCATCTAGTCCAACCCCTGCTCAGGCAGGAAACTCTATAGCTATAATAATAATAATAATAATAATAATAATAATAATAATAATAGTGTTGGAAGGAACCTTGGAGGTCATCTAGTCCAACCCCTGGTCAGACAGGAAACTCTATAGCAATAATAATAATAATAATAATAATAATAATAATAATAATAGTGTTGGAAGGAACCTTGGAGGTCATCTAGTCCAACCCCTGCTCAGGCAGGAAACTCTATAGCAATAATAATAATAATAATAATAATAATAGTGTTGGAAGGGACCTTAGAGGTCCTCTAGTCCAACCCCCTGCTCAGGCAGGAAACCCTATAGCTATAATAATAATAATATCCTTCAAGCTGACAACATCAAGCACACTGAAGTCAAGAAAAAGATTAGAGATGAATACATCAAGAGAGTGAAAAAGATCTTAAAGTCCAAACTCAATGGAGGAAATACCATAAAGGCAATCAACACCTGGGCAATCCCAGTCATTAGGTACACAGCTGGAATAGTGGACTGGACTCAAGCAGAACTAAAAGCAATGGATAGGCAGACCAGAAAAATAATGACAATGAATCATGCCCTTCATCCACGCAGTGACATTGACAGACTTTATCTACCAAGGCAAATAGGTGGGCGTGGAATGCTACAAGTACATCAGATGGTTGAAGAAGAAAAAATGGCTTTGGAAGAATATCTGAAGAACAATGATGAAGATGCACTGAAATTAGTATATCAGGAAGGCTTACTGACTACTGGAGAGACCAAACTGGCCTACAAGAAAGACCAAATGAAGAACAGAATAGAGGCATGGGAAGACAAAGCACTACATGGCCAATACATTAAAAAAATAGCTGGGAAAGCAGATAATAACAAGACCTGGCAATGACTAAGAGCAGGAAAATTGAAGAAAGAGACCGAGGGACTAATTCTGGCTGCACAATAATATGCAAAGAAGCTGAAGAAACAATGGACCACCTGGTAAGCTGTTGCAAGAAGATTGCACAGATTGACTACAAGAAACGGCATGTCAAAGTAGCAACAATGGTGCATTGGAAGATCTGCAAAAAATATCATTTGCCTGTAAGCAAAAACTGGTGGGATCATAAAATAGAGAAAGTCATAGAAAATGATAAAATTAAACTGCTCTGGGACTTCAGAATTCAAACAGACAAGCACCTGCAATATAACACCCCAGACTTAACAATTGTCGATAAGAAAGACAAAAAAGTCTGGATAGTGGATGTGGCAGTGCCTGGAGACAGCAGAATAGAAGAGAAAGAACTGGAGAAGATAACAAAATACAAAGACCTACAAATA